AGGCTATATCCTGCAAAGCCACAGAGGTGGAGCTGCCCAAGACCAGGGAAACTCACCTCTTGCTTCAGTGTGACCTGGATATGATATATGGAGTCAAAGGAGATCTTTTTTTGGAGTTTAAGATTTGAGTGCTCTGCTGGATTTCAGAGTTGCATGGGGCCTTCAAGCCCCTTCATTTTGGCCAATTTCTCCCATTTGGAATGGGTGTATTTATCCAATGCCTGTACCCTCATTGTGTCTAAGAAGTAACTAACTTGCTTTTGATTTTACAGGCTCATAGGCAGAAGGGACTTGACTTTGAGTTAATGTTGAAATAAGACTTTGGGGGACTCTTGGGAAGGCATGATTGGTTTTGAAATGTGAGGACATGAGATTTGGGAGGGGCCAGGGGTGGAACGAAATGGTTTGGCTGTGTCCCCACCCAAATCTCATTTTGAATTGTAGCTCCTATAGTGCCCATGTGTTGTGGGAGGGACCTAGTGGAAGGTAATTGAATCATGGGGTAGGTCTTTCCCGTGCTATTCTTGTGATAGTGAATAAGTCTCATGAGATTTGATGGTTTTATGAAGGGGAGTTTCCCTGCACAAATCCTCTTCTCTTGTCTGCTGCCATGTGAGATGTGCTTTTCACCTTCTACCACCATGATTGTAAGGCCTCCCCAGCCACACGGAACTGCAAGTCCATTAAACCTCTTTCTCTTGTAAACTGCCCAGTCTCAGGTATGTTTTTATCAGCAGCATGATAATGGACTAATACAGGTGAATATATATTTAGGATAGTTAAATCTTCTTGATGAATTGAACACTTGACCATTACATAATGCCCCCCCCCCTTTTTTTTTGAAACGGAGTCTTATTTTGACACCCAGTCTGGAGTGCAGTGGTGCAATCTTGGCTCACTGCAACCTCCACCTCCTGAGTTCAAGTGATTCTCTTGTCTCAGTCTCCTGAGTAGCTGGGATTACAGGTACACACCACAACACCCAGTTAATTTTTGTATTTTTGGTGGAGATGGAGTTTTACCGTGTTCACCAGGCTGGTCTTGAACTCCTGACCTCAAGTGATCCACGCACGTCAACATTCTTTGTCTTTTTTATATTTGTTGGTTTGAAGTCTTTTTTTTGGTCTGAAAGTAGGATTGCAACCCTTGTCTTTTTTTCTGTTTTCCATTTGCTTGACCGATTTTTATCCATCCCTTTATTTACAGTCTATGGGTGTTACATCAAGTGAGATGGGTCTTTTGAAGACAGCATACCAATGGATCTTACATTTTTATCCAGCTTGCCACTCTGTGCCTTTTAATTGGGGACATTTAATCCATTTACATTCAAGGTTAGTATTGATATGAGTGAATTTGATCCTGTCATTCTGATGTTAGTTGGTTATTTTGCAGACTTGATTATGTGGTTGCTTTATAGTGTCACTGGTCTGTGTACTTCAGTGAGTTTTGTAGTGGTTGGTAACAGTCTTTCCTTTGCATAATCAGTGCTTCCTTCAGAAGCTCTAGTAAGGGAGGTCTGGTAGTAATAAATTCCCTTGGCATTTATGCGTCTGAAAAGGATCTTATTTCTCCTCTGCTTAGGAAGTTTAGTTGGCTAGGTATGAAATCCCTAAGTTAAATTCTTTTTTCTTTTTTCCTTTTTTTTTTTGAGAGGATCCACTACTGTCCAAACCCAGACTTGGAGTGCAGTGTACCCATCTCAACGTCAACTGCAACCTCTGGCTCCCCGGGTTCCAAGAGATTCCCCTGGCCGTCAGCCTCCTGAGTAGCTGGGAACCTACAGGGCCCCAGCACCACCACACCCCAGCCTAATTTTTGTATTTTTAAGTAGAACAGGTTTCCACCACATTGCCAGATGGTCTTGACTCCCTGACCCTCAATGACCCCACCTTCGCTCCCCTAAGTTGCTGGATACAGCCCTTGAAGCCACCACCGCCCAGCCTGGAATTTCTTTTATTTAAAGATGCTGAATTTTGGCCCCCAACCTCTTCTGGCTTGTAGTGTTTCTGCTGAAAGGTCCACTGTTAGTCTGATGGGCCACCCTTTGTAGGTGACCTGACCTTTCTCTCTAGCTGTCTTTAACATTTTTTTCTTTCATTTCAACTTTGAAGAATCTGATGACTATGTGTCTTAGGGATGATCTTGTAAAGTATCTTACTGGGGTTCTCAGTATTTCCTGAATTCGAATGTTGGCCTCTCTAGCCAGGTTGGGAAACTTCTCATGGATGATATCCTGAAATATATTTCCCACATTAGTTCCATTCTTCCCATCTCTTTCAGGGATACCAATGAGTAGTAGATTCTGTCTCTACATAATCCCACATTTCTCGAAAGTTAGGCTTATTTCTTTTCATTTTTTTTCTCTATTCTTGTCTGATCATCTTATTTCAGAAAGCCAGTCCTCAACCTCTGAGGTTCTTTCCTCAGCTTGGTCTACTCTGCTATTAATACTTGTTATTGCATTATGAAAATCTTATAGGGTGCTTTTCAGCTCGATCAGGTCAGTTATGTACTTTTCTATACTGGCTATTTTGTCTGTCAGCCAAATCTTGCCTAAGGCCTGCTGCAACCACTCCCTGGCTACTGCCTATATTCACTCAAGGCCCTGGGGCTGTACAATCAGCAGCTAGCAAAGCCAGCCAGTCCTCTGTCCTTTGTTCAAGATAGCAAGGTCTCCCATATGGCAGGGGTGTCCGGAAGTACCATCTGGGATTCAGGCACTATAGTCAAAAACCTTAGATCTCTACCTGGTATTCTATCATATCCGCAATTCAGGACTGTTCTTCCTATCTCTTCAGTGCCTCTTTCAGGGACACAAAGTTAAAACCAGGTGCTATGAGTGCTCATCTGACTTTTGGTTCTTATGAAAGTTTTTTGTTTGTTTTTGTTTTTGTTTTTGTTTTTTTCCTGTGTAGCTAGTTGTTAACTTGATGTCCTTGCAGCGGACACAACCAGTGGAACTTTCTATTCTACCACTTTTCTCCCAATTTTGCTCGTTTTCTTCCCATGTGTCAAGACCACTCCACAAAGGTTGGATCCTGGCTTGTCTGAACCCATGTGATCCCATGTTTCTTCCAACGTGTGAGGGAGGGAGTAGGAAAAGTTTAATTGCTCCTTATAAAGAGACACAAGAAGAAATAGTCTGTTTCTTACTTTTGGAAGTTGTTGTGAGAGAATACAAAACCTAAAGCTGCTGCAGGTGTCCTCCTACCATCTCAGGAAAGCTGACGTGCTGTAAAGAGATGAGCTATGAAGTTCCAGGATCGCTGGTGATGCTACTGGCCTGCTTCATTGAGCAACCCTGGAGATGCCCTGCCTTAGATCCATCTGCTATGTGAGATAATGAGTTAAAGAAAAAGCTAATTAGATTGGATTTTCTGTTACCAGCAGCAGAAAGCATTTTCATGGAAATGTTCATTCCATACATTTTAATTCCACCTCATAATTTCACACCACAAGTTTCCCATAAAGTGAGATAAATCTTATCTTCATCTCAGAGAATAAAGCAAGAGTAAAGTTGCAACTGTGGGATCAAACAGAACAGACATGACTAGCAGCATATTCAATTTCTATAGGATAAGTTGCTTTGCACAAGTAACATGTATTTAAAAATAAAATATGAATAAAATAAACTTTGCATTTGGTAGATATTAAAATAATAGCTGTCTCTGACACATGATAAATTGTGTTCAAATGATTTCTATTTTGAAATAAGCTTTATCTACTTTTTGCTCTTCAGACAGAATATGATAACAGAGCCTTCCATCTTCTTAACCAGTTCACTTGTCTTCTGGGAAATCTACACAACTCCCTTATAATAGTATATTGTCGAACTCCATGCAATTAGAACTATGCACTGGTTTAAAATTATAGATACACAATGTTTTGGGGTAAAGATGTTTGATTTTGAATTTAGAGAGAAATCATGTTAAATCTGGATATCAAATTGGGGAGAATTGACTTTCTTTTTGAGAGAGTTTCGCTCTGTCACCCAGGCTGGAGTGCAACGGCACGATCTCAGCTCACTGCAACCTCTGCCTCCCAGGCTCAAGCAATTCTTCTACCTCAGACTCCTGAGTAGCTGGGATTGCTTGCCTTGGCCTCCCAAAGTGCTGGGATTACAGGCATGAGCCACTGTGCCCGGCCACATTTTTTTTTTTTTAATATTGACAAGTCAAAATTACATAGTGTATTTATGGTGTACAGCATGATGTTTTGATGTATGTCTACAACGTAGAATGACTAAATCAAGCTATTTAATAGATCTGTGAACCCACAGAGTTATCATTTATAAGAGAAAACCATTATTGTATTGGGATGTAATCTTGCATTTTTCTTTTTATTCTATTTCTTGTCCTTGTAGTTATTGAAGCAGATAATTTTTCACTCCATGTTTATTCCAGAAAAATTTAATAACATTACACACAAGGTAATTTCAGATTTATGGGAGACAGTAAGGCTGGGTACCAAGGGGACCACGAAAGAATGAAGATGGAGTATTACCATCAATACTGGGACTTCCAAGCCAAGGGCAGGGCTGAGAAAGCCACCAGGGAGGACAATTTCTGCAAGGTCATTGAAGCAGGAGCAGACCCAGTCCTGAGAAAGCTTCCCTTTCCTGGAAGAACAGGAGGCCAGGCAGGCAATCTTCTCATGCTTCCGAGCTAGGTTTAAAGGTTCTTTCTGAGTATCATCTTCAGTTCAGGGGGCTGCAGAATACAAAAGACAGTGTTGTTTTCAACACTCTTCTACCAAAAAGCTTCTTCTCCCTCCTTTTAGGACCTCATAAGAGAGCAAGAAGAAGAAACAAAAATACTTCTAAGTTTCCCTGAGCCACTGTTACTTTAGAGCACAGACCTTTTACTAAGCGGAGAGAAGAAGCTCTAGTATAAACTACATGAGTAGAACTTTGCATCCAAAGTGTTTCTCATTATTTTTGTCTCATGTCTTGTCATCTCTACCATCTTTCTAGGGAAGCCAAATCTGTCTCTAAAAGAGGATTAAAGGTCACTACCTGTTGGCTGAAGTCCAGAGTGTCCTGGAAAAAGAGGGAAAGATATATACTTAAAAGATATGGAAGGAAGTCTTTCCCCAAAAACAATGTTCCAAGCTCCAGATCTTCCTCCTGAAATCTCTCTAACACTACAACCCACACCGGCCAGGGCAGAGAAGAGAGCAGAAACTGAGACGGTGTGACATGAAGCTTTCATCACACACACACACACACACACACACACACACACACACACACAGAGTATAATTGCATTAGCCTTAGTGTCCTTCCCTCATTTGCTCCAGAATTTCAAACCAAGATCCCCATGCTCGTTAACCTTTCTTTTATCTCTGCAGGACACAAGCCCTCACACCGTGACACAGTAACCATGGACTATTGATTTCTAGAGTTCCAAGAAATTTGAGGTCAACTAGGGAAGGAAAGGTTTAATACCAGGCCACTGACACACTGGGAACTAATCTCAGGAAAGCCATATTTCTTCCTCCAGAAAAGCCTATGGAGAGAGCCAGCTACCAAAGGCTCCTCACCTTTCTGATTCCTGAAGTAGAGGAACAGCCCAGCCCCAAGGAAGAGCAGGCCCAGCACAAGCCCCCGACTCCACTCAGCATCTTGCTCTGTGCAGGTTCAGACCGTGCTCCTGAGAGAAGAAGCCAGATTTAGTGATTTTTAACCCTAATCTAACTTATCTAATCGAAACTCGGAGATTCAGAGTTTTGACAATGGGAGAAGAAAGCTACCCTGGAGGAACCAAAATAACTGGCCAAAATACCTGGAATAACTGGAAAAAAGATTTAAAAATCCCACTGAATAGCTAAAATGTTCAGGAATTGAACTCATTCTTGAGTTCAACATAAGGCACAACTTCAATGTCTGATCTAGAAAATCCCTGGGACTCAATGAAGTTGAGTAGCTTGTTTTAGTGTCTTTACTAAATGTTTCATTTCTGGAGCCAGGTTGTCTAGCTCAAATCCAGGCTCTGCCTCTTACTGATTGGTCCTGAAAGAGATTTTCAATTCTTCCATACCTCAACTTTCTCACCTATAATGGAAGTTAATAATCCTAATTTCCCAACTGGGGTTCTGTGAGGATTAATGTACCTAAAATACATAAATAAGAGGCAGAGCTGAGACTGGACTCTCCTCATGTCAGGAAGGCCCTATGTTGCTCCTCTTCTCAGATGGCAACAAACAACTCAGAGCAACAGTGCCAGAAGCACAATCCCAGCCCCAGAGGCAAAGTCTGGTGCCCAGGGCTAAGGCATGACCAGGACCTGTGACTTGAGGAGGTTCAAAACAGGAACAGCCTCTTTTCTATCTTCTAGGCATGGCTGCTTCTCCAGGGGGTACAGGTATTCCTAGAAACTCTCCTAGGACTATCCCCAGTGACCTGTGTTGAAGATAGAAGAACATGGAGCAATTGAAAATATGATATGAGAGAGGAGAAACCTGATAGTCAAGGATAATCAATGTCCCCTTCCTGGTGGGTGAGAAATGTATGAGGTCTAGAAGCTTCTCACTCCATTGCACTGTGAGAGGGCTCGTCATGCTTGGGTGCTCCACTTGGCAGGTGTAAACCTCTCCACTCTGAAGAACTGTTTCAAGCATCACCAGGGTCTGGAAGGTCTAGTCTCCACTGCAGATCAGGCCTGTGGAGACCACCCCAGCCTTCTCTTTCTGGCCGTTCCAGAACCACCTGACTTCAATGCTGCCTGGATAGAAACCACTCACAGAGCAGACCAGGAGGTTGCGGTGCTGCAGTGGCTGGGTCTCTGCAGGATACACAGTCACCTCAGGATGGACTAAGAAAAAATACAAAGAATATGTAAGGAAGATAGAGCAAGTCTTCTTGGTTGCCTTTCTCTCTGCCTCTCTCCACACCCAGGCTCAGGTCTCAGCCAGGCCTCCACCAAAGCAGGCCATGTGGTCTCACAGTGTCGACAGCCTGGAATTTAATCTTTACAGGGCAGATCCATTAGATTTGAGTGATGAAGAAAATTGTGTTTGCTTTTTTCATAGTTTGAAACTGTTATTAATTATCAAAG